TCAGAGAAGAGGATTCTGGACAGAAGGTTTCACATCTGGCTCATCCTTATGTGTTCTAAGGACATAGCCCCCAGGTCCCCTTTGCAGCCCAACCTGGAACTAGCTCCTTTACACTCAGCCCTGGGGTGCTGTGAGTCCAGCAAAATCCTGCACAGAGTGTCTTCCTAATCCTGTGATGACCCTCCTTTCTCTTTGTCAGTTGCCCCAGGTCCCGTAGTGTGAGTATTGTGTTATTGCAACAAGCCAGAGAACCCCAGTACATGGGTGATAGACTTAGTTGAGGTAGCCTGATTGTGCTGGAAGAAATTTTATTTTTCTGGATTTTGTGATGGTTGTAGTATTTATCAGCATTTTAAAACATGTAATTGGCTGTGATTGATTTTGTCTTCCTAAATAGTCATTAACTTCTGTGCTTAGTTTTGTGTTTGTAACACTGTTAGTAGTAATAGTCAGTAATACTGCTAGTTTTCATCTAGAGCTTCCCCCAAATCATATAAGCCTCAGGCCCCACAGCACCTGGGTCCACCTAGGGTCCTTGAGTGAGTGTCACCTGCCCTGGAAAGACCACACTGGCTGACTTCTTCGTCCTGCCATGGACTCATCCCTCCTCCACCACTGATTCATCTATGCTGAAGTGAGGAGGTTTCTAACCTCTGCAGGTTCAATCTTTTGCCACTGATTTGTGACTTTATTTTCACTATAGGCACTCCCAAAGGGGCATAGTATTTTGAAAGCTTGACCTAATGAGGATCCTCCTTATACGACTCCACATCCCCCATAGATTCAGGACACAGCCAGTGCCCTTGGCTTGGTCCAGGAGATGAACCTGCTCACCCTCTTGCTCCCCCACTGCTGCCCACCTGGGACACAGACTCTCAGGGTGAAGGTGGGGGAGCCTTGTGCACAGCCCCCAACCCCATTTGCCCAAAGACAGAGAGTGTTATCAGAAAAGGGATTAGTTAGAGGAAATCACTGTGTCTGCATGATAGTTGCTTGTGTCAAACTGAGGCAAACCTTGATCAGCTCACTGCAAGGGGCCTTCATCACTGACCCCGTTCCCTGGGCTTCTGAGCACCTGCTGCTCTGCCTGGGCCCCTTCTTCCCCACAGTAGCCTGGATTACTAAATCCATGAGGCCCCTGCACCCCACACCTGGATAGGATCACGCCCAGACTCAGACCTCCCCTGCTCAGGCCTCTGGGCAGTGCTTCTCTTCTCTCCCCCAGAGACTTGTTACTAAAGGCAGGGCTGAGGCTCTGCATGCAAGGTGGGCACGGAGTGGGAGCGCCTGTTCCCCTCACCCTCCCCGGCCTTCCCAGCACTGGCCTTGCTGGTGCAGCATGTGAGGGGCCGGCCTGGGGCTGTTTGGTGGACTCCCCTTTTCATTTCCCTTCAGTGTTCACAGCAGTGGCCGCAAGACTCCTTGTCTCTCTGACTGGTAGCATGGAAGGTATTTGCAAACCTGCCCCAGCCAGCCCTGAGGGCTGCACCCCGCTGTCCTGAAACAGCCAATGAAAGGACACTGTGGGGTGGGCCCTGTGTGCCTCTAAGTACTGTCACCTCCTGTCCAGGGCTGGGAAATACCCACTGTTCCAAGGCTTATGCTGACTCCCAGGTGGTGGTCTTTGAGAACTCAAGTGTAATTCTTAGAAAAAGAAGAACCTACAGCATGTCAGTCCCATTTGTGTCTTAATTTCTCTATCCCTAAGGTGAAGCTTGATGTGAGGACTTGCTTTCATGACTTGCTTGATGTGAAGTTCAGACAAAGGGCTGGTGGGTGTAACTGTAAAACCTTCTAGGGCACAAACTCCCAGCATAGGGCATGACCTTCCAGTGTAGGGGACGACTCCCGGGATGGACCAGGGCAGGTATGGCCTTCACTCTGGGATTTCTCCCATCTTTAGTTCTGGTTGGTGTTTCCCCCAACCAGTGACACAGACCAAAGACACACAGTCGCTTTTAGTCTTTATTTTCATGTAGGGACCTAAATAATTTGGGGGAATGAAGTGGACATAAATTGCTACTTATTAGTCTCTAGGGAACTCGATTAGAGAAAGTCAGTCCCTGGAGTGTGACCAACTCTGCAGACGTGGGTGGCATCTACTGCCTGGCCGGCCCCGCTGAGGCATCCTCCCTCCTGGCGTCCGTTAGGGCAGCAGTGCAGGGACAGGGCCAGCAGCCGGCACCTGCTCCACGGGCCCTTCACCAGGAGCCGCTGTAGCTGAGCACCCGGGTTCCACCCCTCAGGCTCTTGTCCCTGCTCTGAGACTCAGATGTGCCCGAGGTGGCTGCTCAGCCCCCTGATGGGCGTCTCTGATCTCAGTTGCCCATTTGCTGTCTAGACCGAACAGGACAAGGAGCCCTTCACAAAGGGGCTGCTCAAACCCTTTGTTTTTTTCCTTTTCTTTTGAGATAGGATCTCGCTGTGTCACCCTGGCTGGATGGGGACCAGTGGCACGATCACAGTGCACTGTAACCTCAATCTGTAGGGCTCAAGTGAGCCTCCCACCTCAGCCTCCCAAAGCACTGGGGTTACAGGGTGAGCCACCACACTGGTCTCAAAACCCCCCTCATGTGCACATCCCCAAGACAGGAAAAACTCAAGACGGAGCCAATGCTACTCTTTTATTAAAGGAGGCAGGAGCAGAGCGTGGTGTACCAGCGAGTCTGAGAAGCAGTAGGGAGAAAGGAACAGGTAGAGCCACTTGGCTGGGCAACAAAGGCCTCCTGAAGCCTTGTCTACCTGCCTCCCTCCCGGGGCTGATGC